CAAACTTATTTACAAAGGATATAGTTACGATACTGTTGTCAAGTCATTAAAGATGGCATTTTTTTTTAAAATTAATATTGGCTCACTCATAGGGTCTTTGCATCGGAAATAAACACATTTATTTTAAAACCAGTTATTGGCATGATACGGGTTATGTTCTTCTCGTATAATTTATGATGGTATAATACTAAACCACTAGCGAGAGGGATAGTGGTTGATTTTCAAGTGATGAAGACAACCTTACGATCAGTTTAATTGAAGTGTGGAGCTGGCATGTCATTAATTTCTAGAAGACCTTTAAATTTTTAGTTAATGTTGATCATTTTCATGTTGCTTAGTTTCTTCTGTTACCTATTCTAACATCGGACTCGGACTTCCACATTGGGTAGAGGTAAAGGACCGGGGGGGGGGGAGTGAGATCTTACAAAACATGTTTAACTCCACCGCATATTCCGGAACCTCTAGCCTTAAATTAGTCTTGTGAGTTTTTTTTATATAATTTTGGTTCATTTGTATGTTTCGGAGTTTAGTGTGGTGTCTGCCTCCGCCGGGGTGCGGGATTTTCCTGCTGCATTGAAGACCCATTGGTTGCCTATGCTGTTTTCTGTTGTTTGGTCGGGTTGTTGTCTCTTAGACATATTCCCCCATTTCCATTCTCTATTCTACTTATATAACATATTCCCAGTTTCTTTTTCTACCATAATTTAACAGGCGAGAATTGGACTAAATTGAAATCTTTTCCTATTTCATCAGGATAATATTTATAATATATGAAGCAGATAAACATTTTTTTCTTTTTACAATTTCAAAAATAATATATTTTACAATACATACACATTAGATTTACCAAAACAATTGAAGTTTCAAAAATCCACATTAACATTATTGGCCATGGGTTATTGTCTCTAATTTTGTATCGAAAGATTTCATTAAAATCTATGAATTAGTTTTTATCTGATAGACAATACTTAAAATACTTCCAATTAAATGTTGGTTTCGGTTAAGAATGCTCTTATAATAACTCAAATTTGTAAAAATTAAAGTGTTTAACAAAACATAGGCTCAGTATATAGATATCTATAGTTCAGTGACCAAGTGTTCTGAAATACATGGTCACTAAAGTACTGTTTTAAAACCTTTAAGTACCTCATATGAACTTATGATACTGTGAATTTTAGTAAAGATTGAAAACTTTTAGAAAAAGGCTATGCTGTGAAAAAATTCAATTGAAATTTGTCTTACCTCTTTTCTGTTTGATTCATACAAGTTGTTTCTTTTAAAATGCCTTTTTAAAAAAATCATCTGGTACAATCCAGGATCCGTCTAGGACAAATCTTGATATCACATTTTCTACCAGCATATATTGGAATTACTTAAATATTTTACTATTTTTTTTATAGATGCTAATATTAAGTCTTGAAGTGTGACTTTACTTGTAGAATACCGATTAAAACGTGATATCACATCCTAATTTTTTTCGATGATATCAAATATAAAGCCCGTAAATTTAGATACGATCCATGCAAAATCATTGATCCTTTCTATAAACTTTTTTTTCAAAGGATACTAATCTAACACCATAACAAGATCTTTGAATATTGTTTTTGTCGGTACTCACATCGATTTTGATTTTGATAAAAGATAACTAAATATGTATCGTATAAACATTTATAAACTTATGATCCTACATCCCGTTGATATCAAAAACCTTTATTTTGGCATGGCACAATGTCATGCTATTGTCATCTTTACAATAAATCCATTGACTTGTAATGAAAGATGATTTATTCATTAATTGTTATTGACTTTGGAATAGCTTTCAGTACTCGTAAATTAGTACTTTGTATCCTCTGTCTCTATTGTAGTGGTCTTTTCCTTGTGTCGATATGGTGAGTCGAGTCATTTCCAACTATTTATTTAATTTGTTCTTTGGTTGTGCTGTTACATCACTTTCCCTGTTTATAGAAAGGTTGAGCGCTCACATGCAAGTGAAGTCAGACACATTTTATATGTTTCTGACCGTCAAGCCTGGAGCCAATATTTCAGGGGTATTCGTTGGTTGCTTTCTGTCATGTTTGTTTAAGTTTATTGTTTTGTTTTACACCAGACCGTTGTTTTTTTTCGTTTGAATTGTTTCACATTTTGTCAAGTAGAGGCTGACTATAAGGTATGGGGTTTGCTCATTATTTAATGTCATACCTATAGTTGCTTTAACCAGCTTCCATTGGATTATGTTGAATAGTTGTCTCATTGGCAATCATATCACATCTCCTTATTTTATATTTGTTGATATATTAAATTTTGTATCTTCGATGATAATGATGATCTTATATATAAAATGAATATGATGAATTTATACTTCATATTTCCAATAAACACGCGGATGGCAGAGAGGCAAAACTAAGTATTTTTTTTAAAAGATCGGGGAAAAAACGAGTCAAAATTTGAATAATGACTTGAAAAATCCAATTATATGTATGGTAGGACAAAGGTCAAAACTTTGTCAAATTCTGTAACACTACTCAACATTATCTTCCGTCGTCAATAAGGAAAATGTGCAATCATGAATTGTAAACCCAGTTTATGTTAGAACGTATAACTTTTTTTTTAAATGAAGGTCAGTTATTGGTCTAATATATCTTCAAGTACAGCATACCACGTGTATGTACTTCTGTTTAACACCAAAAAAGGCAGAGGTTCTACATGTAAGTTTGCAAAGAATCATTCATGAAATTGTATCACCTTTAATCTTTAATCCGTTCGTCCGTCCCGCAATATGTTAAAGTTTTTGGTTATGGTAGTTTACTAGATGTTGATCGAGGTCACATCAGCTTGAAACATATATTGTACATGTTCATTACGATGTCGTGTATAATCCGAATTACCATGATTACAGCATTTTCTTGATATTGCACAAGCACGGATTGTGGTCCTATGGACTTCTAGCGGATGAATAGCTTGGTTTTCAGTAATCATTAGAAAATAGAACAAAACTGATTCATATAATTATGTAAGTCATAAGTTCTACGGAACAATTTATAGAAATAGTAATGATAAGGAAAAATACGGTAGAATATATATATCAGATAAACAAATATATTTTAAAATGCCGGACAAAATTGACAAAAAGGAATTAGATATAACACGTAAAGATAAAAAAAAAAAGATTGATTCCTTTTGCGTTCTGGTTAAGGTTAAGGAGAAATAGACAAAAATCGACAAAACGAATAAATGAACGAAAACAGAATGGACGCAATGAATGTAATGATGAGAAGAAATCGTAGAAACCCCAAAACTTCAGCAATGGCAATGACAATGGCAAATATCTTATAACGGGAATACAGGTTCTACAAATCCAAGATTTGTCCAATCGCAACTGCAAAATTATGGGTATTTGGAATAGTCAGAAATTTTGCTTTTCGTTAATTCGCTTTACGACCTCCACGGAATGTGTCTGTTCCGAGTCCTTTTAGGTACCAAGAGTGTGTCATTTTCACAAACAAATCCCATGATATAACGTCACTAATTTGTAATCAGAGGCGGGACGAAAAGGTCATTTCTTGATCTTTCTTTCCCAGCTGATATTACTATACCCTAATGATGTGTTATAGTAATCTCAGTTCCCAGTCACACATTGAAGTTTAGAGGCATTTATTATATTACTTCTACTTCTACTTCTACCAATACGTGGCCACCATCAATAAGTTGATTATTTTGCCACTTTTTGGATGCGCATTTGAAATTTAAATATTGAATTGATTTGAATTGTGCTATACATCATATATACAGTGAATTTAAAAACATCTTGGCGTTGATCTAGTTCATCTCATGCAGGTAAGTCTTGAAGCATTCAAGACTACCTGCATTGGTGGCAGTATGTGGTAGGGCATTCCAGTCTCGTATCGTCCTTGGGTAAAAAAGATTCCTTCCGCACTTCGGTCCTACAAGATGGTACTTGGTATCCATTAGTGTTGATGTTTCTGGATAGCCTATCTGGTGGAATGAGAGTATTACTGGTGTCAACTTTCACCATCCCGTTGGCAAGTTTATACATCATTGTACGACTTGATGTTCTCCTACGGTCTTCGAGGGTTTTCCATTCTATAGTTGGTTAAGCATGTCACTAACAGATGATGTGTTATGATATCTGTTAGTGACATATCTGGCTGCTCTCCTCTGTACCATTTCCAGTCGGTTTTTGTTGTTTTGTTGATAAGGATCCCAGACTGTACATGCATATTCTAGAGTCGGTCTTACAAGTGATTTGTATGCAGTTTCTTTTATTATGTTGTTATTGATGTTCAAGTTACGTTTGAGGAAGCCTATGGTCTTGTTTGCCTTGACACATATGTTTTTGATGTGTTCATTCCATTTTAAATCGGAGCTGATGGTGCAGCCAAGGTACTTTTCAGAATTTAGAGATTCGAGGGTGTGGCCATGCATGTTAAACAATCAATGCAATGGTAAAATTTTATAAAAGGATGTGTTTTAAGACGTACTGGTACAGAGTTATTTTGATTAGACTGTAATAATAATTTTATGTGAAAATCATCAGTTTGTCCGTGACCTGAAATCATACGGTCTTCATAAGTTGTATCTAATGTTGTATACTTTGACTACGCATTGTATAGATTGTGCTTAATCCAATAAAATATTTGGACACCTTGTTGTCAATATAATGGATTCTATGCGACTGTCATGCAGGTGAGAGGGTTTCAGCTAGCTATAAAACCAGGTCTAGTCCACCCGGCATTTTCTACATAAGGAAATTACCAAGTCAGGAATATGAAACTTGTTTTCCATTCGTTTGATGTGTTTGAGCTTTTGATTTTTCCATTTGACAAAGGACTTTACGTTTTGAATTTTCCTTGGAGTTCGGTATTTTTGTCATTTTACTTTTTTATTTGAAAAATCTTTCATAACATCCGGAAATTACTACCCGTTTTTTGGTAATATTAAAATCATAACAAAACCCATTTGATTCGTTTCTTTCCCCGTCCCTTACATGATCTGTGACCTGTCAGTTGTGTATCGGCATTGCGTAACATTTGACAGCTTGACGGATAATAATCCCCAAGCATACAAGATACTAGTTGAAAACCAGTAAGTTTCAGATTGTTGACATAGGATCTATAAGCTTTTGCTCTGTAAATTTATGTTTTGGTCTTTTTATCCTGTCCAAATATTATCATATTGACTTCTTGGGATGCTGTTTTAAAATTTTGCTTTCCTGTCTATGAGGGATATATAAAAATAGATATAGAAAAAGTACCATCAGCTAAAGAATAAAGGGCACATGAAAAGCAAAGTAATTCAATACAATGATTTGTACAATTGGCACAAATAATTTTGACAATCGTAAATAAATATGAACATATACAACTAAATTTTAAGATCTTAAGCCATAGAGCCATAAGCGTTAAATGTAAAAAAACAGTAATAAAACACATTATATATAATATCAAAAGGCAAATATTTTTAAAGGGTTAATTATAAGCATGCTGACTATGTGGTATGGGTTTTGCTCATTGTTGAAAGCCGTACAGTGACCTATAGTTGTTAACTTCTATGTCATTTGGTCTCTGGTAGAGAGTTTTCTCATTGGCAATCATACCACATCTTTTATTTTAATATTAACAAAAATACTAAACTCCGATTGTTACATTTAGTTTCCTGAGTTCAAACCATTTATTAATATAAATTCTAATAATTTTCAGTACCTCTAGGTTTTCTTGAATAAAAAACCAATTGAACTTGGCACTTTGTGATTTATCTATATATCATGATTATCTTGACCATACATCCCCCAAATGGGTGTTAAATTGCATGTTTTACAACACATTTTGGGGACTGGTCCAACTGTAAACCCCAAAATGGGACAGGGGTGGGCCCTGAACTGACAAAGCCTGAAAGGTCATCTGTTTGGCTGATTCAGATATTTCGATTCCCATGGGCAGTCAGGTCTGGTTGAAATTTGGACAGTTAATTTGATCCTTTGATAAAGGAAAGAGTCATACTCTCTGCAAGTTAAATTTTCCTTTATACCATGTACCAGTCCAAATTTTCCGCCCTTAAACATGTTAAAGGCCTTCATCATTGTCAACCACTTTGCATGCCTACATGTATCTATTAGATTTGTTTGTAATTTGTTAACCTTATATATATGAAATGTTTGCCACTGGACATGAAGTAAACAACTTTCAATCGATTTTGATATATGAGGACAACTTCACAGTATCATAATTTATGAACATGTGTCATGTCTTAGAAACATATAACAATGAGACAGAAGCTAAGGTATTAAATGGATTTTCAAAAATCATAAATTGAATAAAACCTGACTATACCATGCCTGAAAACAAAAAACAAAGAAAAGACAAATAACAGTCCACAGAAAAATGAAGGATGAGCAACTTAACTCCCAGCCCCAGGAAAAACTAGGGGTTATATTAGATGCCCCTGAAGGCATAGCAAATCCTGCTCCACATGTGGCATCTATCTGGATGCGCATGGCAAGTAGAAAATCAGGGATAAGTCTTATTTTGGGATGTCACAATCAAATCATGCTTTGTGGTTGATCTAGAGAAGTACTTCTTTATCTCAGTTGGTTAGAGAGCTGTCTTGTAACACAGAGGTCCCGGGTTAGAGTCCTTGAAGAGATGATGTGATTTTCTAATAAGAATCATGCTCTCCAGTTACAATCTATAAACTACTGTTTTCAGAGTGAATTTCATAGTATTTTGGCAAATGTACTAATTGATAAAGTATAATCATTGTCAACTGTTGATGACGCTGACTTTAAAATTCCAAAATTTAACTACATGTATTTTGATTGGATAAATCCAATAATCCACTGGTACCAATATAAGAATCTATAAACTTGATAAACTTGTACATATTACAATGTATGTATAGTAATAGTTAGATATATATATATATATATATAAGTTTTGATATTTGTTTTCAGACTTGATTAATATGGAAGAACTTGAAGTTTTGGAGTCTATATATCTTGATGATATCAAAGTAAACAAAGATGAAGGGTAATATAAGCTAAATTTATGTGAACTTTCACAAGAGAAATGATGTATATATTAAATGAATAGCCTATATTCATTGAATTAATTCCTGTACACCTGTTTGTGCACCATTGAAGTAAATAATTTTAAAACATTTTCCGTTAAATGTTTTAGTGTCATATCAAAAAATTTGATGTCCAAAACTTAAAGTGATTGTATTACAAACATCAAGAGGTGAGCCAGGTATAAATTGAGGTCAGTAGAAGTAAGTTAGGTAACTGGCAATTGGTGTATTCATCAGGCATAAAAAATATCTCAGAGATGCAATAATTTCTTAAGTCTAGAAGACATTTCTGAGTATTGTTTGTGAATCCAATATGTAAGAATATGGAATCAGAAGTTATTTATTAAATGGTTGGTGTATTTTGCCATTGAAAGAATCTGAAAATTTGAATCTTGTGAGTCCAAAATTTGTTAGTCAAGAAATCATCTATTTAAGAATCAATGATGCCTGGATGTAGAGGTTGTTAAAAGGGTAAAATCTGAAGTAAGAGTAGCTTTAAAAGGCGTAAGAGGAGATTTTGTGAAAAAATCTTTTATTCCAAAACCAAATAAATAATTCCATGAAAAGTCTTGAGAAAGTGACATTTAAACTAACTTATTCAAATTTTGACCATTTTTGAAGACAAATACCATGAAACATTCTACATTTACAGAGATTCACCAGTCAGCATACAATTACAGTTACACCCAGCCACAGGAGATGAACTAGACAAAAGATATGTTTGTATGACCTTGACATTGAACCTACCTCAACAGGTAAGTAATGTATTTAAAGATATTATACCCACACTCCTAGAGTGGGGCCTAGATTCCTTACATGTTTTCCATTCATTGGTCTGTTCATCCAACAAATATTTCCATCACACTTTTCCCTGCTGCTACTGAATGAATTTCATATCTTGTCAGTAGCTTTACAGTGATGAGTTGTAATATGTCAGCACTTTTGGGTCTGTCAGGCAACTGATTATGTTTGTCAATACTTTGAATTTTTCTATATGTTGAATGAACATACAAGTTTTCGGCTCACAATTCTCAAGTACTGCTGAACAAAAATGACTTCATATTTAGTCAGCAGATTGGCAGTGGTGAGTTGTAATGTTTGAGCTCTGTTACAGATTATGTTAACATTTTGTAAAGGGTAAAAGATAAAGTTTTAAAAGAATTACAGACCTTGGCAGCTGGCAGAATCTCTTGGCACTATATTTAATTTTATTATTAAAGACAAAACTAAAATCTATGTTCCCAGTAAAACACCCACAGTTAATGCATTTGATCATAACAAATAATAATAAAATAATAAATTTAATATCCATGAAATAACATCTTTTTGGGAACCATGGAAATCTGGTACAAGGAATTACATGAATATACAGCTATTGTTTAAATACTTTTCAGTACCCTGATGAAGTACCAGATATTGTTATTACTAATCCTAGAGGTATTGCTGAAGAGGAGGTACAAAGGTATGCAATTAAAATTTTCAGGTTTTATTTAAATTTGCAGAAGAAAAATATTGTGAAGATAATGTTTTTGTTTGAATTATTTTCAGTTATTGAAGTTTTCTTTTTGAACATAGATATAGAAGAAATGATTGAAAATCATGCATGGTAAACACAAAATTTCTTTAAGTCTTTATCTACTTTTTGGTCAAATTTTACTTAGAATTACAAAATTGAAAGTTCAGAGTGCAACATATCACACATAAATTTGTAGAATAACATGAAGACTTGAATACAACCTAATGAAGAAACTTTGACTTTTAGTAAATTCTCTTTTTTGTAGAAAACAAAAGGAGTTTAAATTTTCAATATGTGATGTGTGTTTGATAGAAATCAACCTTTATTATGCAAGTGCACATATACATGTACATGTATAATAGTCTTGTTTTACGGCGGTTCCATAAACGACAAGTCTAGGGTTCTTTGACATCACTTTATTATACAAGTAAACATACTAGGGAAAATAACCCTGCAATAACAATAGCATATAATTATCACATTTATCAATACCACAGTCTTATTAAAGTCTTATACTAGAATCATACAAATAGTATACTGGTGTAATTAACAATGTTACAAGATCGTATGAAATATTCTATTCCATATACAATAAACTATACTGAGTATCAAGAATGCAGTGACATTCATAATATGCAACAAACTTGCAATTATATTTCTAAATACAAATACATGTATCTGATAAGTCGTATCAAATAGCATATCATTATAATCAACCAAGCGTATTATAAACAAGTCGAATGTATCGTACTTCATAAACGAGTGTCATTCATAAAACCTTTACCATACGAAGGTTATTAACTGTTCACTATAGTATTCTAGCTATTAAGTTCGTATGCACTACTGTAATGTTTAATATCTATTATCGAACTCAAGTTAACTGACATATAGGTACAATATAATATGACCCTTACCAATCTGTGGAACCAGGTTATATATCTAACATCTACAGTACAACCAGTATGTTACAGGAACATCATAATCTATGTGTCCTGAAAATAATACACAATAGTAAATACTAGGATCTAGGAAAATAATGATTCCTTATACAAAATACAACATATTAAAGACTGATATAATAAAATCAAGCTATTACACAAAATTACCATATATGGCAATATTAACGCAATTGTCAATGTGACGTCATAGATCCATAACTGAAAGGTCAAGGTCACTTTCAAAATCATTCGTAAATCTCCCTTTCTACATCCAAACTACAGATTCAAATCATATATTCTCAGATTAATACATAAACTATCTTACTCCTATCATATCTAAGGTCTATGGGCATACTTACCTATAAACGGGCAGAATTGTATAGCATGCACTGCATACGCCTTTCATACACCACAAAGAACATAAAATCTACTTACCAGATATAAAGAATGTAATTTCCAATAACTACAGTGATTCCAAAGTATGGAAACTTCAGTGAGTACTAACGAGCACTAAATAGAATGTCTCTATATAAGTTTCATCACTATATATGGTTTAAATAAGAAGTAAATATTAAATATGTATGTCTCCAATTTTCAAGAATTAACCACCATTACTTCTTTTCCAAAATCTGAGGTGTGTCCAGAATGACCAATAAGAACTGACCATAAAGATAAACAAGGTGTGACAATTAATTTACTAATGAGTTGGACGGGTAGATACAATTACAACTTTGCTCAATGAAGTATGACTGACTAGAACTTTCATACAATTTATAGTATAAAGAGATAATAAACTATAAATCAAAAGATCAAATGATCAGAGTGAATGAATAAAGTATAATATCTGGTATGTAATAAAATGTAAAATACTAATAAATGAAATATGTAAAAATATACTCTGTCACACATGTGTAAGACTTTGATCGATTTTGGAACTTTCAAATAGGAAATATAAGATGAATTTTGATCTATTTTGTAGAGTTCTTACATGTATATCAACTAAATTTTCAAACAGTAACAGACTTTGCATAGAGTTTTCTTTCAACCGAAAAAGGTTAACAGATATTGATATTCATTTGCATAGTGTCGATTTCTATCCGACACAGCTCATGTGTTAAAATGCTGTTTGGTTATTTTATTTTTCAGTTTACTTGAAGAATTAGAAAACTTAGCCCTGGAGAGAGTAGGTGGAGAAATGTTATATGAACTGATTGAGGTGAGACTATATTCGTAAGGATATGTGGGGTATTCAATCATAATGACAAGTATTAAAGACAGGCAATTAAACATTTTATAAGAACAATATAGTCCAGGGAAATTCTAATAAAGAAGAAAATATGACTTTCTTACTTAAAAAAGTTTTTAAAAAAACTGAATAACTAAGGGAGAAAACTCTATCTTTGAAATGATTTACTGAACCAGTAAATAAAAGTGACTTTTACATAAGTATTACCCTGACTGACATTGTATCAATATTTGTAGCAAACAAGATACTTCTGTTAAACTTTTTGAAGGGGAGATGATTGGACTTTCACATTATATGTCATTGACCTTTTTTAAAAGTAAGATAGTGTTGGAGTAAATTTCACACAGAGGTAGTTACACTCAATAAATGTATACAACAAAATAATTCTGGTCTGACATAATGAAGGTGAGAAAAGTGGGTCGACTAAGATAAAGGACCAGAAAGGATGAAAATGAGGATATGATGGTTGGGGCAGAAAGTTTTCCCTGCATTAGTCCATCTACAGTGTAATCAAAGAAATGTTGGCTGGAGATTTATACATCAAAATAACACTTTTGATAAATTTGGTGCATTTGAAGTGCCTTTCTTTATTAACATCTTCAGGAATGCTCATCATGAAAAATCTGAAGGCAAGAATGTATAAATACTTTTGGAGCTTAAAAGAATAGCTAAAATACTTGGGGAGCTTGGAAGAATAGACAAAATACTTGAGGAGCTTAAACGAATAGCCAAAATACTTTGGGAGCTTAAAAGAATAGTCAAAATACTTGTGGAGCTTAAAGGAATAGCTAAAATACTTGTGGAGCTTAAAGGAATAGCTAAAATACTTGTGGAGCTTAAACAAATAGCCAAAGTACTTGTGGAGCTTAAACGAATAGCCAAAATACTTAGGGAGCTTAAAAGAATAGCTAAAATACTTGTGGCGCTAAAAGGAATAGTTAAATTACTGAGGAGCTTAAACGAATAGCCAAAATACTTGGAGAGCTTAAAAGAATAGCCAAAATACTTATGGAGCTTAAACGAATAGCCAAAGTACTATGGAGGTTAAACAAATAGCCAAAATACTTGGGGAGCTTAAACGAATAGCCAAAATACTTGTGGAGCTTAAATGAATAGCCAAAATATTTGGGGAGCTTAAAAGATTAGCCCAAACCAACTTAGTATAAAAATAAGAAGATGTACTATGATTGCCAATGAGACAACTATCCTCCAGAGTTCAAATTAAGTGATAGTAAGCAATTATAGGCCACCATACAACAATGGTCAACTTTGTCTGAGGGAGTTGGAACCTTAGTTTCTATATAATTTCTAAATTTTTTAATTGGAAAATTTAAAAATAGTATGTTTTAAATCATGTCAGTGGCAAAGCATTGACTATTGGGTTAATGATGCCTTCAGGGACAAATAGTCTCCCAGTAGAAGTATGGAACCTGTTAATACAGTTAAGTCAAACAGAAGCATACGAGAAGTGCAGGGGTTAACATGTTTCCATAAACCACCTAAACTGGGTTTTTATTATTCTTAAAATTGAGAATGGAAATGGGGAATGTGTCAAAGAGACAACAACCCGACCATAGAGCAGACAACAGCCGAAGGCCACCAATGGGTCTTCAATGCAGCGAGAAACTCCCGCACCCAGAGGCGTCCTTCAGCTGGCCCCTAAACAAATATGTATACTAGTTCAGTGATAATGGACGTCATACTAAACTCCAAATTATACACAAGAAACTAAAATAAAAAATGATACAAGACTAACAAAGGCCAGAGGCTCCTGACTTGGGACAGGCGCAAAAATGCGGCGGGGTTAAACATGTTTTTTGAGATCTCAACCCTCCCCCTATACCTCTAGCCAATGTAGAAAAAACAAACGCACAACAGTACGCACAGTAAAACTCAGTTCAAGAGAAGTCCGAGTCCAATATCAGAATAGGAAACAAAAGAAAATAAACAAAATGACAATAATACATAAATAACAACAGACTACTAGCAGTTACTGACATGCCAGCTCCAGACCTCAATTAAACTGATTGAAAGATTATGTCTTCATCATATGAATATCAGGCACAATCCCTCCTGTTAGGGGTTTAGTATTATACCATCATAAAATATATGAGAAGAACATAACCCGTGTCATGCCAACAACTGGTTTTAGAATAAATATGTTTAATTCCGATGCAAAGACCCTATAAGTGAATCAATATTAAAGCCAAAATATGCAATCTTTAATGACCTGACAACAGTATCGTAACTATATCCCTTCTTAATAAGTCTGTTTAAAGGTTTTGTTAGCTTTTGAGGTGAATACTGACATTTTTGTGCTTTGTAAAGAATATTACCATAAAAGATTGGATGTGAAATACCGGAACGTATAAGATGTCTGCATGTTGAGTTATATTTACGAATGATGTCCTTATACCGATGATAAAATTTAGTAAATGTTTTGACTAGTTTATGATATCGAAAACCCTGGTGTAATAATTTTTCAGTAATACATAAATTTCTCTCGCTAAAATCTAATATGTTGTTACATACACGAGCGAATCGTACAAGTTGAGATATATAAACACCATAAGATGGTGACAAGGGAACGTCACCATCTAAAAATGGATAATTAGCGATAGGAAATGAAAAATCATCTCTTTTATCATAAATTTTTGTATTAAGCTTCCCGTTAATGATATAAATATCAAGATCAAGGAAAGGACAGTGGTCATTGTTAGTATTAGCTTTATTTAAAGTAAGTTCAAAAGGATAAATTTCTTTAGTATACATACTGAAGTCGTCATTATTGAGAGCCAATATATCATCCAAATATCTAAAAGTATTGTTAAATTTTTGTATCAGATGTTGTTTCAATGGTTTATTTTTATTACTGATATTTTTTTAAAGTTAACTCCTCTCAAACAATATTAGGAATTTCAGTTAAACATGAAAAAAGGGAGTTGGAAATATTCATAAGAAGGGTATTATTTATTTAGTTATACGCTATAGTAAATTAATTGTATAATTCTTGCATGTCTTCTAAATTTGAAAATCTAAAAACGATTTGGAACAATTTCAATCCAAAATACTGGAAAATGGCTTTCTTATTGAAACCATAAGTAATTTATTGTGTGTTCATGGGTCCCCAACTTCCTTTTTATTTTACATTACATGCATCTCATTTTTAATGTAAACATAATTGGGAATACTGAATTCAAAGCACACATTTCCATTGAAAAATGAGGTCAATTAAGGGCTATATTGCAACCTGTCTTTTGTTGAGCAATTGTATCAGATTCATTGTCAAGATGAGAAGTTAATGATTTGAACCCAAAATGGCAAAAAAGAAAACTGGAACAAGTACAATTAAGTTTCAATTCTTAATTAAATTTTCATCGTGCCATCTAAAAAATTTATGACAAACCTTATCAACCCATATAGATAATGATATTAAATATTCTTCTGACTTATTTTCAGGTTGCCAAGGAGAGTTTAACTGAAGGGAATGTGCCATACTGCCCCTGTACAATATGTTGTGAACACTTTACAGAGGAGGATATGTTTACCAAGACCGATTGTTATCATTATTTCCATAACAACTGTCTCCAACGTTATATATCACATCAGCTTGATGTACAAGAGCAGGAGAAAAAATCTCATATACAACATACAGAAATTAATGAAGATGACAAAAAGGTACTGTACATAATAGTTAAATTACTTGTTTAACTTAAAGTTTTAGGCAATACCATGTGTGCTGAGTAAATGGCCATTTAAAAGGGTTGGCCAGGTAAATTCAAAGGTCTATCTGACAGACAATGGCAAAGTCCAGTAAGAGTTGATTTAATAGAAAAACAAAGGATATAGGGTATCCATCCATGACACAAAATAAGTACATGCACAGCAAAAAACACACAAAAAGCAAAGGACCAGGCGCTTTTATTGCTGTTCTTCATCTCAAAGACACAGTGAGGCCTTCAACACTGAGCAAAAAAAGGCAAATAAAACTCTCACCTCACTGCAAATTATTTGCATGTTAAGTAATAGACCAAATGTCCAATCATAAGATCTTTAGAACTAATTTAAAACACCAGGAAAAAATCCATTTACCAAGTTGAAAACAAATATTAACTGGAATGGTGGCTGTAATGAAGGGTTTAAGAATTATATTCCAGGAAAAAATGCATTGCACAGAAATGGCTGAATAATTACTGTAAAAAATTATGTATAAAAATATGAGAATTCCTTTGGCATTAGCTGCTGTAGAAAAGGATTTACAGGATAATAAGTGCATTACAATTATTGATTGAAGTGTAATTTTATCTTCTAAATTTAATTGCTCTAATTTGTAAGGGGGAAATGATTAAGCTAGTTTTCACTTTGTATTATTTTAGATCAAGTGTCCTGTATGCAGGGAAGAAATCAGCTATGATCAAGAGTTTTTACTAGATGATTTCAGTAATTTAACAAAAGATGAGACATTCTACCAGCCATCATGCGACCTGAGGGTATGGCAGAAAAATATGGCTGAACTATACTTGAAACAGAAAGAAAAAGGAGGAATAATTGATGTAGAGGCTGAGAAAAACAGATATTTACTCACTGATTCTGATGTAAGTTTACAAGGGGGGTTATGGTTTCTAACTGCCTCTGATGTAGATTTTTAAAGGGAAAAAATAACTCAATGGTTTCTGGTTGGCTTTGATATAATTTTATCAAGCTTTGGATATCTTCTAAAAGATTGAGCTAATTTCAGTTTCAATATAAAAATAAAGAGATGGGGTATGAATGCTAATGAGACAACTATCAACAAGAGACCCAATGACATGGATGCAAACAACTGTAAGTGATTGTATGCGTACCACCTTTAACAATGAACAAAACCCATAGTGTATTAAGATATTAAAAACCAGACTTGACAAAATGTAAAACAATTCAAACAAAAAAAAAAAACAACATGCTAATTTATGTCAAAATAATAAACAAACAAAAAACAGATATGACAGACAGCAACAAACAACAGCCACTGTATTACAAGCTCCTGGCTTTGGACAGATATCACTTAAAGAATACTGCTGCGTTAAACATGTTTATGAGATTTTAACCCTCCACAAATGTAAGTACAGTATTTTAAATGAATTTTGTACTGTGCATTACTGTGTTAAAAGTTCAAATGCTAAATGCACTTCTGTAATATATTATAATCATTGGTACTTATTGTGAAAATGCTGGTGTAGCATGCTGTGCCTGGAAACACCCTTTATTTTATTCTGAAAGTACTAGCGATGGAAAAACTAGATATATTGCAATGCTAGTTCCTTAAAAGTGAAAAAAAAAGAAAATTAAATCCTGAACATTTCATGGGTTATACAAAATAAAAGGAAACAAGATAGATTTGATATTTCAAGGATGGAACTAGCCAGTCTTATGTTATCACAGGATAATCACAATACACTTATGTTAGGACTTTTTGCTTATATTTTCTATGTTATAAGATGGCCACTTTTCAGGTTTATTTATCAATGTAATCACTGGCATTTTTAAAACTTCAATCTATTTTTGTCTTATAATTATTTCCCACTTTTCTATTTCTATACAAACACAATTTACTGTCATTGAAGATTAATAATGATTAATCCATGCATTAAAATCTGAACTTCCAATTGGTGCTTTTATCCAGCTGGGTAATTCTAGCAGATTAGACCAAATGGTGCTTTGATTTATTTAGAAATTATGTAGTGTGTGCAGCTTTTGTGAACCTCAACTTATGTAAATTTAGGTACATTTGCAAATTTTTCTTTATCCAAATAGGTTGAAAAACACTTGCATTTTAAATTTTGATAGCATTATTTGTAATAATTATTTCCTGAAATCACAAAAATATAATCTTGCATTTTTTGTCAATTATTCAACAATTGCAATGATAAATGCATTCAAACATTTCTGAATTTACAAAATCTTCTTTTAAATCCTTTTTCAGAATGAAATTCCTATAATTGTGTCAAGAGTAATATCAGATAATACTGAAAAAGACCAAATAAAGCAACCAAAAGTGGAGAAAGAGGATAACATAAAAAGAACTTCAGTCACATCTAAATGTCATAAAACAGGTCGTGGACAAGGAAGACATGACAGAGAGCCTCATTTTCGTGGTCATAGATTTCGAGATCGATATGATAGGACCCATTCCGCTTCTGATCGACCGAACCAAAGGAGAGATTATGATTATAGACCATCATCAGGTAGACAACAGGAATATTCAAAAAGGGATAATGATAAAAGACCAATATCTGGTAGCAACTATAGAAGAGGGTTTGGAAGGGGAAGTAACTCCAAATCACCTAGAAATGATTCTTTGATTAAGAGTAAGGATTTTAAAGATAACAGAAATGAAAATTATAATCGTAATGAAAAAAATGGATCTGTGGAAGAGAAATTAACTGAAAATGATTCAGATTCACCAAGGAATGAGGTCAAAGTGAATGACAAAAAGAAAAAAGAAAATGATGTAATTAATATAATTGAGTCAAGTGAGTCAACTGCTGAGAAAAAAATGGGAAATGCAGAAAAGAGTGATTCAACAAGTGATAAAGGTACCAGGGAGATTAAAGTTGTAACAAAGAATGAATCAAATCTTGAGGAGAATATGACTGCTACTGATTCAAGGATTTCTGAAAAGGACAAAGTACCAGCAAACAGTTCCAAGCTTCCAGTATCAAACACACAAACTAAAGATTCATCACAGATTGCTTGTGATCAAGTTAAGTATGATCGATATAGAGGTAGAGGTCAAAGGAAGCATGCTGGTGAAGTTAACAGAGGGGGAATGAAAAGTCAAGGTCGTTTTAGGGATGAATATCATCATGAGAATTCTAGATGGAGAGATCAAGATCATTACTATGGTAACAGAAAATATTATGATGATTATCGTGATAGTAAACACTATGATAGGAGAGGTCAAGGTCAAGATAATAGGAAAGGTCAAGGGCAGAATTATGATAGAAAAACTCAAGGGTACTATGATAACAGAAAAAGCCATGAACCAAAACACAGGAGTGAAAATAACAGAAAAACATGTGAAGCAAAAGATCCGGAAAAATTGTCTTCAAGTGATTCAAGGTCAACTGAATCTGCAAAAACTAAAGAACCGGGGAAATTGTCTTCAACTGATTCAAAATCAACTGAATCTGCAAAAACAAAAGATGTTTCAAATTTTGACAAAAGTAAAACTACTCAAGAACAAGGTGCTAAGTCACATGATTTAAATAAGAAGGAAAAGTCGAGGCATATACGAAAAGATGTACATAGGGAAGAAAAACCAGAAGTACCTCACAGAACCAGTATTAACAATTCAAAAATTAATTCAGATAGACAAGAGAAACAAGGATGTGACATAGTAACACGGAGCTCAACTACTAAAACAGTTAACAGAACTAGTAGGCCTCCAGGATTTGAAGTTAAAGGTCCACCACCTGGATTCTCAGAAAAGTCTGTCAAACCACCACCCGGGTTTTAGTATATTGCTTACCACTTCAGCCTGCTTGGCTTTAAGTTATTATGTAATCAGCTCAGTTTAAAATGTATTTGAAGCAACAAGATTTCGCTGTATTTTATCATGAATGCAATTGCTCCATTCCCTCAGATTTATTACGGTTGTTCCATTTAAACATACAAGTACTGGTGCCCAGGGAAGGCAGTTTGAAAATGAGGTAACAATCTAAAGGGACAATTTGAGAATTTCTGTTACACTTTCACTGTAAAAAAACACTCACCCATGAATGAGATTTTCATGAGTCTTCTGTGGTTACCATGTATGTTTTTATGGAACATCCGTTTGATATACTCTCATAAATGGAAGCATATCTATGTATTAAGCTACCCTACTGTCTTTCTGTATTATTAGTTGTTGAATGCATAGAAAATATTTCTATTTTTATGACATAACGAATTATTAAAGGTTTTGTAGAAGTTTTCCAGAAAAGTGCATTGAGGGTTGGAAGGCACACAAAATTATCTATGTATTTGTGATTCAAATGAATCCATATAGAGTGAATAATCAGATTTATTTATATTTTGCATGGGTGGTGGGTGTTACCTAACAACTAAACAACCTATTTTCTGGAAACACTTTTATGTTATTTTTAGCTTACATGTTAAGGAAAATAAATTGTGTTCACTTGTGTATTAATGTTAAAATATAACTTACATTTTGAGTTGGAACCCCCTCCCCCCCTCCTTTATCCTGGGTTGGAAACCCCCCTTTTATAAATGGCTGGATCCGCCCCTGCATTTTGTTCAGTAAGTTTGAGTGATAAGTTAAGGTTTTCGTTACTGAAATACAAAACATATTTCTTTGAACAATTTTTATTGTGGAGTGCCATTTGTAGGAGGTATTGTTGTTATTCAAAACCAGGAATTTAAATGCTAACAGTTAACACAAAAATAATTCCCTTTGAAGGTTTTGAGTGAATTCTTGTAAAAATTAATTATTAGAAGATGATTGCTGGTTGGTGGACTGCCATTTAATTTAGTTTAGTATAGTATAGTTTAAACATATTTATTCATGACCATTACAAAGATATCATCAAACAAAGATAGAGTATAATGTAAGATTCAGAAACAATCTGTACATAGCTTATATTGATATATGTTTTCTTGAAATACCAGTTTACAATTTCATGAACATAGTATGCTGTGTTATAATGTTATGGAACAGGAATAAATAAATAATCACATAATAGACAAAAGAAGAAAAAAAAGAAAAAATAATTAAAATGCAAAAGAAAGAAATAAATAAACTTAAATATATGCAGTTTTAACAATATATTATTATTTCAAAATTGCATAAAGGATGATCATTTAATATCTCTAGAATGTACATATAGATCCTACAACTGCATCAAGTGTGATACGATATTTCACCATTCGAGACCTGCCAAGCGTTTTAGATATTTAAAATTTAACTGTCGAGAGTGGATAAATATCGTATTGCACGAGATTTTGTTGTGGAATCTGTTTCTCTTATAATTTAAGTCGACAATCCTAATCCTTCTTTTCAAATGATCAGAAAGAAGATGTGTTCTTTCTATGTGATGTAATCGGGCATGGTTGCCTTTTTTCATGACGTCACAATAGGAAATGCAGAGGAAAGCAAGAAAATTTAACGTCATAATCGAATTTTGACCAATGAAGAACTGAGATCAAACGAACCACACGTTGATCAAATAAAAATAATCAACAGGTCACGAAAAGAATAAATAGACAAAGAATTAGAGAAAGAGATATATGGGAGTTAATCACCTACTATTTCTAGTAAATGTACTGGTAGTTCCTTAAAAAATAATGATTGAACAACACAAATTAATTTAGTTCCAAAATAACCAAAATAAATGGGACTCCAAAACAAATTTTCATAGTTACGTTGACTGGAGAAATTAGAATTTTTTATGATGTGTAAAACATTTTTATTCTATCTGTATTTCCATGCATCTCTATAACAGGGTAATTAGTTTTCATTCAGTGTATTGTTAATTTTTGAAAGCTGCATTTGAAATTGGTATTATTAAACCTGGTATTTCAAATGCTATGATTTGTCAGCAAAAAGTATTTATTTCTTTGTGTTTTCCCTATTGGTTGTAAGCCCATTGAGGGTATCTTTGTAGATTGCAAATTTCATCATTTCTAAGGCTAATCCTGTGCACAATGATTTATTCTTGCATTTTCTGATTTTCATTTTCCGTAAAGATCAAATTTGCTTGAGCAGATATTTATCACAGTAATATCTTAATTACAAAATGAATGAAAATAAACTTTTCACAAAATGTTTCCCAACCACTGATCAGTATAAACACTATAACTATTTACATGCATTATTTTTACCAGTGTATGTCATGCAGCTTTTAAAGTGCACAAGATAAAATAATGTGATATGGTAAGATTGTCAATGAGATAACTATCCAACAGAGTCCACATGATGTGGATTTGTCAATGAGATAACTATCCAATAGAGTCCAAATGATGTGGATTTAATCATTGATAGGTCATCCTACATCCTTCAACAATGCAAAACCCATACAATATAGGCTAGTCTGGGTTATAAAAGACACCAACATGACAGAATGTGAAACAAGAGTCGTCTGTAGAATTTTGAGTATCTTGCATCCCAGCTCACATGAATCTTATTATTTCCACCAGCCAATCATGGCCAGTCCACTTATGTCCTTTCATATTTTACATTGATATTGTAAATATGCTTAATCAAAAAAGCTAAACTATTTTTTACAAGGTATTGTATGTTAAATTCTTGTGATGAAAGAAGGGAATGGCATGTCCCCTCTATAGGGCGAGCACAGGGGACAACAGTCCGAAAAAAAAGAAACAGATTACAAATTTGTGCATTGAGGAAGAATAGTTTTTGGTGGATATTTGAATTTGCCAAAGTCTGCATAGAAACCTATAGATGATTTGTTCTTTGCTGAACATTTCAATTTGTGGTTTCCCTATACCCACAAAATCCATGAAAACTGGTACCCCACGAATGATGATAAACCTACAGTAGTCATTGTAGCATTGATAATATTATAAGATATGATGAATAAAACTGAAAATGGAAACTGGGAATGTGTCAAAGAGACAACAACCTGACCAAAGAGCAGAAAATGTATGTATTGTGTGGTGTATAAAGTCCAGTGGCAAATATTACAGACATATCAGTACAAGAACATGTTGAAGTGATGGTTTGTACTAGACTGAGAAGATGAGCTGGATTTTAAATATGCTAGTTAACAAGGTAGCAGTCAGCAGGACATGCCACCCTACCCAAACACATTATTTTAATTTCATGCTATCCATAAATGCAAAATACATAGCAGAGAAGCGACAAATACCAAGTTTTGAAGTCTTTGGTTTGTCTTGCCACAGATCAAACTCATGACCACCCCCACTTGAGGCTTACACTTTACCATAATACCATCTTGTGACATTACATTTCAAAAAAATTTTGAGCAACTGTTTCCATTAGAATTGATGCAAATAATTAGATTTGGAATCAACCTATCATGCATGGATGCCAAGTGAGTAATACAGACTCTAAACTCTAGTTATTAATAAGTTGATTTTCAGTTTGATAGGATTAAATGCTCAGAAGTTGTCTTTCTTCTTGTACTATTGGTTACACAGAAGACAGGTCTGTTTGAAGTTCTCTTTTATAAAAAATACATGTTCCTGAACTTCATCACTCTCACTGAAGCTACTGTTTGAATTTTAAGTATAAGTAAAAAATAAATTACAATGATAGATAATTCTATTAGGTGAAGGTTCATATGTCATGTTGATTTATGTTCAGATGACAGTTTAAATTTGTGATATGTACCGATAAAAGGTCTTCTTGCATACTGATATTGTAAAATATCCTCTGCAAGTCACAATATTAATAATTTTTACATCGCGATGACCTTGAGGTCACTCCGATGTATTACTATCGCCTAGATTTCCATTATGTAAATTAGTTTTGGGTTTGTAACCGATCTATAAACATGATAAATATGCGCACATAAACGAGTGCAAAATAACATTACTTGTCATTTGATATAAATACATCTCTTCAATGAATACTGATAAAAATATTTTTGTTTACAACATAAATTAATAATGTGAAAATGTTTTGTAGTTAGATATATATATATATAAGTAAAAAATCATTGATAATATCAATGCACACGTACCGAAAAATTGTGTTAAAGCATGCGGAAGAATATCTCAAAGAACGTTTTGCGACAGGACCGGTAACTCTGTAATTGTTTTTGCGGGAAAATATGAATGCCTACTCGTATCCAATCTTAGAAAAATCGAATTTTTACAGAAAAGTGTCCACCATGCACTTGCATTGCACTATTATTAGACTGACAGTAGAATAGAATGATATACAAACGGATGCAAATCATATATATATATGTAACTGTTATTTTAATATAATATATAACAACAAATCAGTGTATACTGATTTGTATCACTACAATATAATAGTTATTACGGTGAAGTTGAATTTCCTGTCATTTATTCATCATACTCGCACGCACTTGTCTAGAAAAAAATATATCTCTGTACATTAACCTCAGTTTCAGGTAAAGAGATATGTTGTTTTTTTTTCTGAGACAAGTGCTTTTGACCATCCTCAAGAACTTGTGGTCATCCGATGTTCAGTACTTCAGTACTTTGATTTTTGCAAGTGAGTGTAAGGAACATCTTCACTTTATCTGTCTAACCAGCTTGTATTTTTTTTACGTTATCTATATACCAAAATCTTAATGCTGTATATTCAGATTTTTTTGCGATGTTTCTATTATTGTGAAAATTGTGGAAAGAAAATGTATCACAAAAATAAAACCCTGACTTTTAAATTTTGATAGCATTATTTGTATGCACTATTTTTTGAAATCCCAATAATTAATGCAAAAACACATTTGATGTCACAGAGCTGTGAAATGGGATTTTGAGGATGAACTGAACAGGGTGATGAAGGTGCAGAGGAGATATTACAATTAGAATTATAAATAATTCAGGTTTACAAGGGCATTATTTTATCTTTAAATATAATTTATGAATGGACAAAGGGAGATTACCAAGTTACTCAAATTTGTATGAAAAATATTTCATAATGTGGATTCATTACTTTTCATGGGTACATTTGTACCAATTTGCATGGAATGAGGAAAAATCATATTTTACGTGGACATTTGATTTCATGGTGTTTGCCTATAGAAAACATGTCCTTCATTAAACATTTAAACTCGTCGTTCACATTTACCCTTGAAATCCAAGAAAATTGTAATACAATTTAACGTGAGGGTACCCAAATTGCACCTATTTTGACAGATTTTTCACCTACGTTTATTTATGATCGAGACAAAAGTTTCCATTCTGTGTTTATTTTGTAGATGTATCATTATTTACTACATAGTTCCACCAATTTAATTTTGAATCCATATTGAATCATAGAAAAATGGGTTTGAACAGACCTCCAAACGATCAATGATTCTGTAATGAAGAGTACCAAATTGCATCAATGCTTAAATTCACATCCTTAAAAGTCAAATAACAGATATTTTTGTTTTATTTCTTTAAATATTTAGAACAATTTGACATTTAGTCCATGCGTACTTTTCATTTTTTAAGAAATCAATGCTTGTAACATATTTTGTTTACTAATTTTTAAAAGATGACTTTTTGTGGACGTCGCATCGCGACGTTTCCGTACATTTTACTTTTTCCAGTGAACACTTCATCTGTTTATATATACTGTGAACTTTTTGTGTATATTTAGATATATTTACCTATGTTGAAAGACGTGCATAGTGTCAAATCATAAAAATACAAATTGTTTAGTCTCTAGGAAAACTTGTAAGATTTCCTCTGCTATTTTCATTAAATAGGTGCAATTTGGGTACCGTGACGTTACCACGAAGAATAATGATTGAATCCACAGTTATACATCTGTATAAATTCTGGGACATGATTTATAGACTCGTTAGTTATCCTCTATCTTGATTAATTTAAAACCAGTTATAATTGTTATGTTGATAATTTTAAATTGTTTGAATAAAATTTAAGTTGTACATGGACAAAAGTGTTTTGTTTTATGTTTTTGCCTTGATGAATGTTCAGGATATGTTTTAGCCCTTTAGGGTTTCAGGAAATGTATGTTTTACTGGTTGTTTTAATATGTTGAAAAAATTAATTTAAGTGTCCCCAGTAAAAATTGGGAAATAAATAAACTAATTGAGAATTGAAATGGGGAATGTGTCAAAGAGACAACAACCCGACCAAAGAGTAGAAAACAGCCGAAGGCCACCAATGGGTCTTCAACACAGGGAGAAAATCCCGCACCCGGAGGCGGGCTTCAGCTGGCCCATAAACAAAAATGTGTACTAGTTCAATGAAAATGGACGACACACTAAACTCCAAAACATATAAATGAACTAAAATTAAAAAAACATACAAGACTAACAAAGGCCAGAGGCTCCTGACTTGGGACAGGCGCAAAAATGCGGTGGGGTTGAACATGTTTTGTGCCTCGGAGATCTCAACCCTCCCCTATACCTCTAGCCAATGTAGAATAAACAAACACACAGCAATACGCAGCTGCAGACCTCAATTAAACTGATTGAAAGATTATGTCTTCATCATATGACATTAAAGCTCAATCCCTCCCGTTAGGGGTTTATTATCATATCATCATAAAATATATGAGAATAATATAAGCCGTATCATGCCAACAACTGGTTTTAGAATAAATGTGTTTATTTCCGATGCAAAGACTATGAGTACCGGTAAATCAATATTAATACCAAAATATGCCATCTTTAATGACCTGACAACAGTATCGTAACTATATCCCTTCTGAATAAGTCTGTTTAAAGGTTTGGTTAGCTTTTGAGGTGAATGTCGACATTTTTGTGCTTTGTTTAGAATATTACCATAAAAGACCTGAACGTATAAGATGTCGGTAATATAAAAAATATTACATTTTATTACTAAAAATCCTTCTCTGAAACCACTGGGCAAATAGAACTACACTTGACCTGCACAATCTTTAGGGGCAGTGTTTTGGATATATTCTATAATAGAATATATTATAATGTGGTGCATTGATTTTAGGGAAACAATGCTATATAAAACCCCATGATGCTATTGAAAACACTTGGGAGAACATTTGAGGGTGTTTACCAACATCGCCTGTTATTGATATATCATAGCAGTCCAATTAACATAAAACTCAATGTAGAAATACAGATAAGGTCTAGTTGATTTAAACAAAAATGAGACAATCATATTTATACATATATATTAAAGAATTATGGTTT